AAGAACTACACAAGAAAAACGGAGAAAGGAATGAGTTTCTAGGCAAACAAAGAACAGGGCAACAAAGGCAGAATGTCAGATCCTCATAGCCACTCGATGTTGAGGCCAGCTCGAGATACATCAGCTCAGTGTAAGAAAAGGGCAGACGAGCTCAGGTGTGGTTAACTCGAGCCAACTCCTCGCTAGACAAAGGTGGGAGCTCACCTACAACATCAGGAAAAAGTAACCCCATTCCAAAAAAAAAAGAGAGAGAGAGCGGGTGTCGCAAGGCTAAGCTAACAGATATAAACTCACTCAGATTCTTGCGCTACCCCCACTCTGTGGGAACCCTCACTGAAGCCAGGAAATAGGCGCCGTATTCCTACACATCTTTAGAAACGAAGAAATACCTCATCCTCTACCCTTCCGGCTCTGGAGGGAGGTCCAAGATAAGAATTTTCCCTCCCTGCCTAGGGATAAAGTGATAAAACTCAGACACCTCCTCGTGTTGGAAAAATTAAAGGAACTCTAGTATAGTGGCCCTAGACCGGGGAAATAACCTTCCCCGCATCGTCGAGAAAGCCAACAAGACCGCCCAAGCCGCTGGGAGAAGCATGGCGGGATAGAAACTGAAGAAGTGCAAAACCTCTCACATAAAAGAAGGAAGTGGAAACCAGAGCCCTAACAAAAAAGGGTCCTCAAAGAAGCAAGCCTCGCCCCTGACCAAATAATGAAACCGACTCAAATCGGCATGGCGCACGACCACTCTAGGAGGAAACTCAAAGTGCTTGGCGATAGACTGAGCCTCATCCTCATTGATTTCACTGACTCTGACATCCGGGAAGAGTCGTTCTATAACATCACGTGGAGAAGAAGGGGCCTTGGCCATGAAAATAAAAAGCAAATAGTTTCTCTTAAACACCGTAGAAGGAGAAGTGTTGCACCAAGAAGAAGAAGTAAAAATTCCTTTTTGGCGCCCAGACAAAGGGAATCATTCTTCGGGGGTACTTATTTGTAAGCCCAACAAACATGCGCCCATTACTTTCGCTGGACGGAGTTAATGCACGTCCCTCGCATTTACAGAAGGGGACACGTGGTGTCAAAAGGGCTTTCGGGCACCCCATTCGAGGAGCCATTAACCCCACTAACGGCATATGTTCTCAAGCAATTGAAACTGTCAAATATGGAGTACAAGAAAAGAACTAGAAAAGACCGAAATAGCCCCAGAGTTAAAACAAAGGTGCTCAGGAAAGGGCAGACTCAAGAAAATGGGTTGTCCAAGTCACCTTGCATGTTTTAAGCTAGTTCACCTTGGGAAAAGAGTGGAGTCAGCTCAGCTACGTGGGAGGGTTGGCTCAAATAGCTTGGTTCTCGCACTTATCATAGTTACCCGAAGACGACTCGGAATCACATACTAAGGCCTCAAAACTGACAACAAATCCTACAACACCATGGTACAAAACTAAATATTTCCATCCATCAGAGCCAAAGAAGGACACATCATTCATAGGAAATGGGAGACCAGCAACAATGTCCTTGTTAGGAAAATAATGCAAGTACATCATCCAAAAGTTACATTGAAGAAGAGAAAGTACTACAAAGGTCTTCAGCAAATTACAGGAAAGTGAAAAAGAAACGGCCACAAGCTAACCTCAAGGAACAGTTTCTTTGCCACCACCGGCTCCTCCGCCAACTGGTTTTGTCTGGGCACTAAGCTCTTCTGTTGCCACTACCTCGGGTACAGACGCCTTCCCAGCACCAAACGTCTCAGCCTTTTTGGGCACCTCGACCGTATTCTTAATCCCGAGCTGTGGGGCGAAGGAATCCAGGTCAAGGTCAAGATAAGCATCCTCGACTTGCTCTCGGCAGTTCAGGAACCCCTTCACAAATGCAGAAGCATTTTCCTTCACAAGATCAGACACTCTGACCTTCAGGGATGCCAGCTCAGTGTCTTTTGTCGCCATTGCGGCCTCTTTATCCTTAAGCTGAGAATCCTTGAGCTTAATAAGATCCTGGTGGCGGACGTCGAGCTCATTATGAACCCTCTTCAACTCAGTAGTCTCTCCCAATAGAATCCTCACTTTCTCCTCGGCGGCCTCTTTAACCACCATCATGGCATCGAAAGACTCCTTAGCCTTTAAGAGCTTCTGCTTGTGATGAAAGTCAACAATCTTCACACAGGTGAGCGATTGGGAAAAGGAAGGGGTTGACCAACATAGAAAATAACCAAAAAAGCTTCGAGGATAACATTCTGAAAAAAAGGACATAATTAAAAATAGGAAATACCTCGGCCAAGCCCTGTATAGTATGCTAAATTTTCCTTTTGAAGGAAACTTGCATGGCCGTTTTAGGGTTTGACGTGGTGTTCAGCTCGGACAAGGTGGTCATAGTGGCCTCAGGATCACAAAGGAAGCCGTTCTCCAGCGTCTTAAACTTGGAAGAAATAGATCCCACCTTCTCACCTTTTTGAGAGGCAAGCTGAAGGGGAGCGTGAGAGGCCACCGAGTCCCTGGTTTGTCCCCTCGAAGCCCCTTCAGGAGGAGATTTGCTCTTAGGTGACCCAAGGGGCAACGAGGGCGCAGTCACACCTCCAAGCGAGAGAGGGTCCTCATTTTTCTGCTCTGAAGAGACAAGTGTTGGCTCAGATACCGAGGCCTTCACAGATGACGATGACAAGCCTTTCACCAACTATTTCCTCTTCCTCGACTTCTCGATATCCAAACATAGTGCCATGATTAGGTCTTAATCCATGGGTTCAGACTGAGGGGCGGGCGATGTTGTAATCTTCGAGACTTGATCGATGGGAGGCTCGAGCTTGTATGCAACAAGGTTCTGATCTGTCACCAGGTTAAAGAAGGATTGCAACCCTAAAGCCTCGGCCTTAGTGACTCTGGCAGTCTCCTCTGTGTTAAGTGTTAGATAGAAATCTACAAACCAGATCAAAGTTAAGTAAGACAGGGAAATGAGAATAGAAAAGAAAAGCTGGCCAATAGATTAGCCTTACGGGTATTCCTTAGAACCCCACAAGACGTGGGAACGCGAGGAACGTTGCTAGGCTCTCCTGTTAACTCCCAGGAGTCACGTCTGATGAAGAAGAACCTCGATTTTTACCCCTTGTTAGAAGAAGAAAGCCCAAAAATCAGAGCCTTCACCTTTACCTTTTTGGCAAAATACAAGAAGCCCAAGAAAGGAGAAGACTTCAACTGAAAAAGGGAAGCGAATTCTCGAATGGAGGGAGAAGAGTTGTTCCCACTCTCAAACCAATGAACAAAGAAACCGACTAAGAGGCCCCAACTGTTGGGAGAAAGCCAGGATGGACAAATGTTATAGAAACCAAGAACATTCTGGATAAATGGGTGGACAGGGAACCGAAGGCTAGCCCGGAATGCAGATTCGAAGAAGCAGGTCAGCCAGGGGAGAGGGGAGTTACACCTCTCGTGTTCCTCGGGTGAGTGCAATTCCATGAAGTCTAGAAAATGATACTTCTGCCTCAGCTCCTCCAAATCGTTATCACCAAGGCAACTAGAAGTCCCCTCAGCGCAACAGGTTAGGTTGGATTGGTCATGGCGAGTTTTCTTCCTAGGAATGGAGGGTGGGATCGGCTTAGACCTCCTTTTCCTCAACTGGGTAGAAGAAGTAGCAGGAACAGATGAGAGAGGTCGAGCCTCAACTAAAGGAGCTGAAGCAAAAACTCCAAGGCCCGACCCAGAGCCTACCTCACCGGCAGTAAAAGAGTGATTGTTGGAGGAACCCGAAGCACTTTCCTCGACCTCCTCATCGACCTACTCCTCTATATCTAACTCAGAAGAAGAAACAACAAATTTTCCCATCAAAGGGTTAACCCACAAACCAGAGTGCAAGGAAGTCAAATGTAAAGCGCAATCCGTCAAGAATAAAGGTTTCAAATACCAATCCCTAAGAAAGGACACCCTTAATAAGGTAGAATGATCTACAAAGTGTAAAAGGAAAGAAAAGTCGTCAGAACGACACTTGAAGTAACTAAACCTCCAGATCATAATGTGAAACCCGAAGCCCCAACAGGGAAGGTTAAAGAGATCCAGGTTGAACAAGAAGAAGAAGGGAAGAATGACGTACCTAGTAGGATGCTAGAAACAGAAAGGAACCGGAAACGTAGGGGTCCTAAATTGCCAAAAAGCCTGGGACAAGACACCTCGAGAGCCAAAAAGGAGAGAATGAGACGCAAGGAGGAGTTTTCAAAAAACACAAAGTGAGAAAGGTGAAAAGGTTTCCCCTTTTATACACATCATTTAAACCATGACAGGACACGCATAGGAAACTGTACCACCAAGCTCACCCACTGGTGACACGTAGCCAAACACTGTCCCATCACTGCTAGCGGACATTAGCACAACCCAGATCAGATTAGAGTCAACAACCAAGCATGTCTGCCACACAGAGAAATAAATGCCAAACTCAGAAAAAACGATTCTAACCCAAGGTCAGAGATGACGTTCTCCTTGTGACCAGGGGTTGGGGCAACTAATAAGGACAGAGTTTTAGGCATGAACCGCCATAATCCCGGAGACCAATAAGCCCAGAAGACCTTTACTTGTTTATTAACCCAAAGGGAGAACCTCTTATCAGCCCACGTCGAAGAGTAGAGAGGGCCGAAAGGAGAAAGTCCGATAGCACCAGAGGACCAGCAGCGCAGCCCAGGCCCAACTCAACGACTAGCCAAAGGATATCCTAGTACTGAGAAGCGGAGTCCTCACCCTGGGAGCACCCCGCCATGCCATGTGTCCAAAGGACAGGGAGACCATCTCTGACGCCTGTGACAGCTGCACCCTCTCTGACACAGAAAATGGTGGTGCAAATAACGATCCAGATATCGTAGGCATAGTAGCGTCAAACAGTAGAGACTGTTGCAGGACAAAGATGGGGGATCCCACAAAATCAACAGAAAAATAGGAGGAGCCATTGGGAACCCTAAAAGGAAGGACTGGTATAAATAGAACAGTATCAACCTACCAAAAGGGAGATCTCCCCCATTGTATTTCTCAGCCCTTGATACACAACAAACCAAGCATAAGCCCTTGTAAAGGCTCAGTGCCAACAATCTCAATATACGATCTTAAGAAACAAAAGACTCCATTACAGTGGACGTAGCCTCAGTCTTTTGACTAAGATGAACCACTTACATTCAGTGCCTTCCATTATTCACAAGTCAACCTTATACTCAATTGAACTCATTAATCCAAGTAACAACTCATCGATTGGGCTGGGGCTATTATTTTCGAGACCCCATCACATTTAAAACCATGGTCGTACCACGCTTATCAGGCGCATAGCTGTTCAAAGTTTCATACATAGAGGATTAACTATGGCCGTTCCAACATGCTTGGCGTGTGTGTAGCCGTTAACTATATTTTATTGAACAGAAAATGACCATTTTTGTGACCGAAATAGGAAAAAAGAAGATGAGAAACACGAAAAACTAAAAACAAACACTAGTTAAACCCAGTGATGGGCCTTGAAACTTTGTCTGATGGTATATCGGGTTGTGGAGATGGGAGTATGGTTAGCGCAAACAACCCGCTAGCCGCCGCTGCAATGGCTCCCACCACAAATGCTGGTAAATTACCGCCTCCAAAAAGGGCGTCCCACGGCCCACTCAACAACGAGACCACCATCTGTTACAGAGAAAAAAAAAAAAAGAAGACAAATTAGTCAAACCTAAAGTTAATTTAAATTTGATAGCGCATACCATATGTAATACATTAGGTCACTTTTTTTCTGGGTGAACACAGTGAACCCATGGCCATGGGGTCATCTCCATACAACCTTGTTGGGTTTTTTCAAAGAAAACTGGTGAAAGGAGACTGTTTGCACCATGTGACACATGCTAATTATGAACCCACCACTATGTAGAAAAAGAATTCACAGAGAACCATGGTTCAATAATGAAAAATTAAAAAAAGGTTTAAGTTGTGTCAAAATTTTATCCCCAACCATTGATTACAAAAATAATAATTTTTTTATTAAATGAAAAGTTGAGGTATAATACCGACAAAGTATATTATGCTACCTTAGTTAAACTCGTAGAATCATAGCAATCATGCATTTCAATATACTAGTACATACAGATTGCAAACGGGGCCTTGGAGCAAAATCCTTAAAATTAATAAAATGATGAATTTTAGTGGGTTCCCTACCCAAAGGTTTTGAAGGGTCTTTTTTTAAACCATTATTAATGATGATTTTTTAAACACTAATTACAAAATCTCAGTTAAAATCTTGAATCTGTTAAAGGCAGAATTCAGCATAATGAAAGTGATTGTTCTGGATGGATAGATTGTGTATAAATCTAATCTTTATCATTATTTTGCTTAAAAATTGATTGTCCTCATGTTCGAACATACAATCTTAAAGTTATCAAATCGAATTTTAACTTAGGCAGAAATAATACAAACACGTAAGCAGTCATGTTATATAATAAACAATAAAACAAATGTGAGAATTAATTAATAACAGGGAAGTATTACCTGTGGTATAACTATGGAAAGATTTAGAACTCCTAGTGAGAGACCTATGAAATTCAAAAATCACAGAGCATCTTAGAAGAAGTAGGTCTTTGAAAATCCTTAATAATGTGAATTAGAAATTGTGAAGCGCTTTTACCTTGCCCAGAACCAGAAGAGTTAGAAAATATGGATGCTAGAGCACAGGGAATGCTATAAGTCGCCTGCAGAGAGAGAGAGAGAGAGAGAGAATTATATCTGATCTAATTCATTATTATTGTTAAGTGGATAGTGAAATGTATCTGACATCTTCATTCATAGTAATTGATTATGTCAAAAAATTATATTCAAATAGCACGGGGTGTCCCTTCATAGGTTGATATATATCCCCATGAGAATTAAAAGGATATGTTTCCAAAATGTCTCATAGAATTCATGAATATCATAGGACTGCAAACTCTAAAGGATAATTCAAGTGGTAATGTAATGATAATGAACTGCAACCCAGACCTCCTCAATTTGAATCTTAACAATCTCTTGGATTCAAACTATAAGAGATTTATCCTTCATGAATACCTAAATTTTGACGTATATGGTATGTATTTGACTAGATCGGGGTGCGGATTAGTTAAAGTGCGCATAAAATGGTCCAGACACTCTCTAACCGTTGAAACATAAAAAAAAAAAAAAAAAAAAAAAAAAAAAAAGAGAATACCATAGGACAGTCAATAATTTTTTTTTCAAGTTTGATCGGTATAAATTAAAATAAGATTTGTTGTATATAAATCTGTGGTGGAGTTATGGGCCACCAATGAACTGCAACCGTCTGTGGTGGGGTTATGTGGCCCACATGAATATTTGGTTGTTTTGGACAACATTCAAAACCCAATCTTATCATTTGGTAGATAGCCCCCCAAATGCCACGTACTATCTCGTTCCAAACCTCATTCAATTATTATCATTTGGTATGTTTGCACTGCACACCAAATCCACGTTTCTTTAATCAGAAGTATGTTAATCCATTGAGTAATAAACCTAATCAAGGATAACAATAACTCAATAAGCAATTTGTCCTGCAAATTAAATTAAACTAAGATGTAGATAGGAATCAATTCGGTTAATTTTATCTGAATATAATTATTATATTAATTGTAAAATGAGATTCACAATAAAAAACTAATAGGTTAATTAGTTCTTTGATGGATAAAATGATCAGACGCAATTAATATTTTTTAACTGGAAAAATATAACTCACCGCCAGAGGGATACCCAAAACTGCAAAGAGAGTCAATGCGCCAATCTTAACACCAGGCACCGGCGGAAGAGGAGTTGTGCCGCCACCAGGCGCCGCTGTGAACCGCCGTGTTGACTCAGCCATTTTGGTCACAAAAACAGTCATAGCCAAGCAAAAAGACAACAAGAAGTTGACACACCCCCACAACCTCTTCACCCCTCCAATCCTACGTCCCAAAACCTCCACCGTCAGGGAGGTGAAACCCAGCACCACCGAGTTCAGCATCAACCCTAATGCACCCGCACGAACACCATGGTCATACATCTTCCCCTCTCCAACCTTACCTCCATAAATCTCTCTCCCCATCCAATCAGTGTCAAACAACAAGAATGGAAACCAAGCAACCGAATTCAAACACGTCACCAACATCAAAATCCACATGGGTCTAGGTAACTCCTTTAATGCACCAAAGATTTCCCCAAAACATGCTAATCTCGACCTTTCACTCCGCCCAAGCGCCACCACGTCGCCGGAACTCTCCGGTTCCGATGGAGATATTGACTTTTCACGTACTGTGGTTAAGACCAGTATTGTTAGACTCAACAAGAGAGTTATGGAGAGAAAAAAACAGCTTTTTAGGTTTGCACAGTACACATCACATGCATTTGTTTTTGTGAATGGGAATAGCTTGTAGAGGTGGGTGTACGAGCCGGAAGCGAAGCCAAGCACGTTGCCGACGGCCACGAAGAAGGAGTAGAAGTCGTTGGCCTTTCGGGTTTTCCGGGCGTTTCCGCCGGAGAGATCAGCCAAGAGGGCACGGCATGGACCCTGAAAATCAAACATAACAGTCAAGAACATCCAGAAATCAAAAACATTAAATCAAACACTTTCTGTTCGTGTTTCTTTTTCTGTATAAATTATCCATTCTGGTTAATTTTAATGGAGATCTAGCTTGTGTCGTACCTGTAACATATTGTTAGCGACGTCAAGGATCCAAAAACCGACGACGAACACGGCAATGGCTCGGGGTTTAGGTGTTTTCCCAAGTGGGTCACCGGAGATGTGACCAATATCAGCAGCATAGCCGACGAGGAAGACCGCGATAGAAACTAGAGCAGCTCCGGCGGCAATAAAGGGACAGCGACGGCCAAAACGAGAAGAACAGTTGTCGCTGTAGTATCCAACGATGGGTTGTACGAGCATGCCGGAGACAGGTCCACAGAGCCAAATAAAAGCAGCCCAAGTGTGTGGAATACCCAATAGTTGAACGTATGGGGTCAGCAAAGAGAGCTGTAAAGCCCATCCGAATTGTATCCCGGCGGCAATAGAGGNTTGTGCCGCCACCAGGCGCCGCTGTGAACCGCCGTGTTGACTCAGCCATTTTGGTCACAAAAACAGTCATAGCCAAGCAAAAAGACAACAAGAAGTTGACACACCCCCACAACCTCTTCACCCCTCCAATCCTACGTCCCAAAACCTCCACCGTCAGGGAGGTGAAACCCAGCACCACCGAGTTCAGCATCAACCCTAATGCACCCGCACGAACACCATGGTCATACATCTTCCCCTCTCCAACCTTACCTCCATAAATCTCTCTCCCCATCCAATCAGTGTCAAACAACAAGAATGGAAACCAAGCAACCGAATTCAAACACGTCACCAACATCAAAATCCACATGGGTCTAGGTAACTCCTTTAATGCACCAAAGATTTCCCCAAAACATGCTAATCTCGACCTTTCACTCCGCCCAAGCGCCACCACGTCGCCGGAACTCTCCGGTTCCGATGGAGATATTGACTTTTCACGTACTGTGGTTAAGACCAGTATTGTTAGACTCAACAAGAGAGTTATGGAGAGAAAAAAACAGCTTTTTAGGTTTGCACAGTACACATCACATGCATTTGTTTTTGTGAATGGGAATAGCTTGTAGAGGTGGGTGTACGAGCCGGCAGCGAAGCCAAGCACGTTGCCGACGGCCACGAAGAAGGAGTAGAAGTCGTTGGCCTTTCGGGTTTTCCGGGCGTTTCCGCCGGAGAGATCAGCCAAGAGGGCACGGCATGGACCCTGAAAATCAAACATAACAGTCAAGAACATCCAGAAATCAAAAACATTAAATCAAACACTTTCTGTTCGTGTTTCTTTTTCTGTATAAATTATCCATTCTGGTTAATTTTAATGGAGATCTAGCTTGTGTCGTACCTGTAACATATTGTTAGCGACGTCAAGGATCCAAAAACCGACGACGAACACGGCAATGGCTCGGGGTTTTGGTGTTTTCCCAAGTGGGTCACCGGAGATGTGACCAATATCAGCAGCATAGCCGACGAGGAAGACCGCGATAGAAACTAGAGCAGCTCCGGCGGCAATAAAGGGACAGCGACGGCCAAAACGAGAAGAACAGTTGTCGCTGTAGTATCCAACGATGGGTTGTACGAGCATGCCGGAGACAGGTCCACAGAGCCAAATAAAAGCAGCCCAAGTGTGTGGAATACCCAATAGTTGAACGTATGGGGTCAGCAAAGAGAGCTGTAAAGCCCATCCGAATTGTATCCCGGCGGCAATAGAGGCCACCATGATTGTGATTCGCAGAGGCGATTGCGGTGATTGTGGCGGTGTTTGTTCTGGTTGCAGAGATGATTGGTCTTTCATGTTCACACCACCACCCTCCATTTTTCTCTCTCTCTCTCTCTATATTTGGTATGAAGTGTGTTGCTTAGTGAAGAAGGGAAGTAATTGATGAAGAATGAAGGTGGTAGGCTAGTGATAAGGGCTTTGGCGGCATTGCCTGGTGGAGAACTGGCAACTGTGAAGGGATTCGTTATGCAGAGATGATTGCCTTGTCCCTTTTCTTGTAGTTTAAATAGACAAAAAAAAAGATAAAAAAATAGACAAAAAAATATGATAAAAAAAGATATAATTGATATCTTATATGATTTGGCAGTTTATATGATCCACTAATAAATAATATGATTGATATCTTAATATAATATGATTGATTGCGTAAAATACACCTCAATAAATCAAGATACTACATTAAACTATTAGGTGGAAAAACATTAGTCAATTAAGGTTGGATAAGATCTCCAAGTTAATGTGATTTTGAGCTTCTTACATATGTGATATGTCTGCATATTTTGGGATGGTTAAAATAACACCAGAAAGATCTTATAATTATCTAAAGTGTCTAAGTAAATACATTTTTTGCCCAATGATTCAAAATTATAATTATCTTAATGAACGTTATATATATAATGTGCTTAAAGGATTATGGAAATCTTTCAGTTTCTAATATTATGCTCATTTAAATTTGGAAATTGCATCTCATTTATTAAAAATCAAGATATAGTAGGGATGCTACATGGAAAAAAATATTTTGAATTTTTAAATTTTTAAATTTTATTTTGAAAAATACCAAAAGGGGTGGTGAACTCAAAAGCCTGGATAGAGGATAACAAATAATTTAGTTAATACTATATATATATATATATGCTAAAAAGACACAGAATGACTGCGCATTATTAAGCGCACGTGATATAAACACGTGGCAATTACGCCCTTTTAAAGTACTGGCTTGGTTAACCAAGCTGGATGCCAACCTACCTATAACTGAGCTAAACAGATGGTGAAATTGTTTGGTCAATAAGGATGCCGAGCAACGAACCAAACCGAGAATGGATAAGATAAATCAAGACTGACTTTGCCAAAAATGGAACCGATCTAGAGATAGCTACACTATCTTGAGAAATTAGAAACGATGCATAACCGATAAGAAAGTTGTCTAAGTTATAGGTGAACAGACTAAAACATGGCATAAAGAATAGGCGAATCAAAAAGAAAGCCTAGGAATGCTCTAACACGAGTTACGAGAAATTTGCCTAAAATGAAGCTACCTTCACAACCAATGGCAGAATCCTAAAAAAGGGTACAAGTCAATATTAATACAAGTAGAAGCTTAAGTCTAAGGTATACACATTATCTTCCCTGCAAATTCCCTTTGTTTATTCTCAGACTCCTTTCTAACTTAAGAATCAGAGTACCTTCGACCGATCAACCCCCCGCATTTGGTAGTTTGTTCATTTTGTAGGGGCAAAACCTTTTTGTTTCCTTTCACAGTAATCGTTCTTTAGATTTCACACCATCTTGAACTAGAGGTATGAGGTTTTTTCCCTCGTAGAATTGTTGTCGTTTGTTGGAAAGTGAATAAAAGGCCAAGTAAAAACTACGAAGTATTCCAAGGTTGCCCAGCGATAAGTAGGGGTACAGTAAGTATGACCCTCAACACAATTACCGAGTATCCTTACCCTTTGACAACGACGTCAGGGAAGATGTTGCAAGGACCTCTAAGAAGAACAACAAGACCCAGACAATGTGTCATCGGGACGGCACTGCCCGCAAGAAGAAATCTTTTGTGACGATCTCTATGAAGACGGACCCAATTAACGCGGACCCTAGCCCTCTAGTGAAGCCGAACCTTTGTAAAGGGAAAGGGGCACTACTCGAAAATTATTTCTAACTTATTTAAGGCCGTAGACCTCTAGTGAAGCCGAGCCTCTAGAAAGGGAAGAGGCACGATTCAAAAGAGCCTTTAAATATGAAAAACCCAAACCCAAGCCCTCTAAAAGGGCACTATTTAGAAATTATTTCTAACAATTCATGCCTCATTCTCTTTCCAATAGAGGCCTTAACCCTTCATCGAGGCCATGCCTTTAGAAGGAGAAAAGACTACTCAAAAATTATTTCTAAAGTATTTGAGGCCCTAGCCCTCCAGTGAGGTCGAGCCTCTAGAAGCACAAAGGGGCACCATTCAAAAAATTCTTTAAGTATAAAAAACTCTAGTCCTTTAGTAAGGCCAAGCCTCTAGAAGGGGAAGAGGGTACTACTCAAAAATTATTTCTAAGTATTTGAGACCCTAGCTCTCCAGTAAGGCCAAGCCTCTAGAAGGGGAATGGGGTACGAATTATTAGAAAATGGTTAATAGAAAAATTTCTTAAAATATAGACAAGACATAATTTTTAGCTGTAAAAGACAAATTAAACAAAAGTTTCTTTATATTAGAGAAAACATACATGAGTACAAAAAATATATACACATATTTTAGGGGAGTTTGGTTGTCAGTGCAACAAAAGAAATAGAAGAAGCTCTAGTAGATTAAGTGCTCGGAAGACCATAAACATGGCGAGAGTACAATTCAGAGGTTAGAGGAGCACCGAAAACAAGAAGAGCTTCATCCCACCATTTCTTAAAATGAGTCTTCTTGATCATTGGAACTTACTAAACAAGATCTTCTTCAACCTTCTCTATCCTATCCTCAAAAGCCTCATCTTCCCGAGCTCTTAAATTGGCTTTGAAGGTTTCAAATTTCTCAAGGAGAGAGACGTGTTCCTCTTGGATATGGGAAAACTCGCAGGGGACCACCACTTCCAAGGACTTTAAGTTGTCATTCAGAGACTTCAAATGACCCCTCTCCTTCTCAAGCTCTGTTATTTGGGCCTGAAGAATGAGCACCTCCTCGCAAAGCTTAGAAACTTTGGTGTCTAGGTTCTCATTTTTCTCTAAATTGGTCATACAGTCCAAAGTAGCCTACTTCATGGTCTAATCCTTCCTCATGATATGCGCCCCGACCTCATGAACTCACTAGAGACCCTATAAAGGAACTGATACTTAAAAAAAAGGAGCCAGAAGAACAAAAAGAAGTAATAAGGAAGTAAGAATGATGTATCAATACCATTTGCTGAATAGTGCTCCGAGTGATCTCATAGTCGAACATCTTCTCACTGACGACAAGATCATGAGGGAGAACCACCCCCGAGTAATCCCAACCGCCACATTCACATCTTTTACTGTCAAATCATGTATAATGATTTCCCTACCGTTAGCCTTCAAAGCAAGGCAAAAGAAAGAAACCACTTATTCAACGTGGTCAGATGGAGCACTCTCATTAACCCTTTTCTTCTTGGAGATATGTTTGCGTCTCCTAGAGATAGCATATGGGGAATCCTTGTCCTCGGAAGTTGGAGATTTTGGAATTTTAGGGATGTTGGATTGAGGACTTGGGGGAACATCAGTTGGATCATTATCCAGAACAAGTATAAGTATGGGCTTGGCCGAATTTGGCCAATCAGGTTCAGTAGGTGGGAGACTTGGGGTATGGGATAATCAGAAGGAACAAAAGGAGTAGCATCAGCGGTACTAACCTGGTTCAAAATTTCAAAAAATTTCTCACCAGCATACCTCTTCTAGAAATTGTAGAGTTCAACCTTTTTCGAGATTGAGGAGTTGAAACACGTTGAGCCCTGATTGCTGTGGCAAGGCTCACGTTCGAATGATCCGATATTGCGATAAAATAATGGTAGGTTTAAGTATGGGCGAGAAAAACAGAAGCAAATCGACAGAAGAGGTCGTCGTTGATGGACCAGACCTTCTTAAAATCTTTCTTCTTTACCGACCGCTCATGAACTTGACCCTTAACAATTTCACCTAGAAGGAACAAAAACACTTCAGAAGGATGAAGAAAATGAAGGAGCATTAGCTACAAATCCAGAAAACAAATACTTGGTGTTCCCTCTTCAAAGGGGCATTGATAATGAGGTTCCTCACCAGCTTTGTGCTCCCACTTCCCAGAAGCAAAGATAATGTCATTTTCATGGCCCTTGTTCGAGTCATGAAGAAGAGTGACCAGGTATCGGTCCTTGTTCATCACTGCGAAGTAGTAGTTATTGTTATTGTCCACTGGTTTGATGATGTAACAATAAAAGATTTTTCACAACCTAAATCAACCTTCAGAAGGTTGTTTAGTTCAGCTACCCCAATCACAATTCTAAAGAAATTGGGGTACCACTAAATGGGGCACAGTTTCAAAGCCGAAAAGCACCCACATAAAAAAGAGGGTAGTGTGGGAACCTTATGCCATTCTTAGTGATGGCTCTAGTGTGAATAGGGATCAATTCCTTGGAGCCAAGAAGATGCTCATTCTTAACAGCATTTGGAATGTTATATTTGGCCTTAAAGCCAAGGATTTCCTCGTCGGTTAAAGAAGCCATGGCAAAACAAAAATGAGCAGATGAAGGAGAACTCATAAGAATGACCCTTTAAAAAGAAAGGAAGAGGTGCCAAAGAAACAACACTTGAAACTCAAAGGACGTGCATTTAATACGATTGATCATTTCTATGAAAGAAATGGCATTTGCATTTTTTAAGGAAACAATGCATATCATTAAATGAAGGTATGTTTGAAGGCAAATAATGTCAATTGATGTGTGCCACATGACAAACATTCTCTGGGGCTAAATGAAAGGGCTCAGAATGACTATGCATGATTAGACAATTTAATGATTCTAGGTAATGTCAACATGTGTCTGGAAAAGGCACATGGCAATGTAAGCATGGCAAGGACTCTTTACAGGCAAGACCTTTATAAAGCAGTGAGTCGATTAACCAAGCTAGGTATCGACCTATCTATAATTGAATCAGACTGATGGTGAAGTTGTTCGGTTAGTAAGGGCTTCCATAGTAATTGTTCTTTAGATTTCACGTCACCTTTAACCAGAGGTACGAGGTTTTTTTCCCTCTTACATACGCCAACCTCAAATTGAAAATATAGCCCTCCCCCAAAAAAAAAAAAAAATTAAATCATGGCAACCTAAGCATCAAATTTAGCCCATTCACCCTTCCTTCTTAAAAATCACCTTTTAATCCATTGTCTTTTTCTTAAGTACCATATGCAAAGCCTTTTTTGGGTTATGAAAAAGCCTCTTTTAAGAACAAAAGGATGGTACAATTCTCGATAGATAAATAAAATCTAAGATTAAATAAGGGATAAAAGATAATATCAATTCTAATGAAGCATTTGTTGAGTATGATTTTAAAAGTAGGATAATAAGTATCAAGTCCAATATAATGTTTAGTTAGGTAATTTGTTCAAAGGTCTTACAGTGAGTGGACTAAAATGACCTCAATCATCTCCAAGTGAAGTGTTTCTTTCACGGGATGTTCCTATGAGGGGGACGTCGGGTCATTGTAAACAAATTAAAGGTCTATTTATTATGAAGTCATGATGTTTATTTATTTATTATTAAAAAAAATAAGAAAGAATGATCACATAAATTTTTATTAGATTGAGGGTAACATTGTAAAATAACGATATAATATACGTAAACTATATTATAATATCACTTCTCTTGGTAGTATTAAAATTAGATCAAAAATACAAATAAATTGTATTAGACTTATTCGAAGAAGATACTTATCTAATTAATCTCATATGTAATACGACATCCAAATATAATATAAACTTGTATTAAAACAATTTAATCAAATATGATTCTTTAATATCGCTATAATATAATAATCAACCGACCCCTAAGGAAACATATAATTTGGTGATTAAGGTTTGGTCCTCCGAAACAAATGCCGGCTATTTTTGCCAAGTGTTCCAATCCTCCTTCCCAGCTCCCAAAAATATCAAACATTTGAAAGTCATTGCTTTTATAATTTCGTGGTACCAACCCCCAAAAGCAGCATCGTCTCTCTCTCATCTCTGGCATTGAGCTAAAAGAAAAAAAGTAAAAATAATAATATATATTTTAAATTTGTAACTTAAATTTGTATCTCAATTAAGGAGGATCATTGGATCAGTGGGTTCCACTTAAAAAAATTAATAAAATTTACTGATCCAATAATTCTCTTTAATTTGAGAAACAAATTTAAATTATAGATTTAGAATACATAACACCATTAAAAAAGAAATCTAAAAATGTATGTCACTTGTTATGGAATCTGAAAAAGTAAAGTGCCGGACAATTCTTCCCCTTTTTGTTAAACGTGCAGAGAGTCATACACAAGAAACCAACTCATTCTTTCCCTTTACCTATTCAAAACTTTTTAATCATTCATTGATAATTGATACTATGGTATGGTAGACTTCTTCTTGTAGTGGGACCACAAAAACCCACAGATTTATCAGACTGAGAGAATTTACCGAACTTAGAGGATATGTGTTGAATGAGATGGCTTGTGGACCATGGTGATCAGTACTGTTGACAAACAGGTTAGTACTACTGCTTTTTACGTTATCCAGTGTGAGCTTGCGCACCTCCCAAAGACTGTTAGAAGCAAATAAAAAGGTGAAGAAGGTGCAGACCACTTGCTGTTCCAGTTCAAAAAAAAAAAAAAAGGGGGGGACCACTTGCTTCTGGTTAGTATTTTTAAAAATGTGCTCCAATGTGTAGCTCTCCCGCAATTTTTATTATTAACTCAAATTTAAATTATTTAATTTTAAGTAAAAAATTTGATTGGATAGAAAATACTTGAATAAATAAATTAAAGTATATCCCTATTTTTTATTCAATCATAAGATAACTGATGTAGAACAAGTGATAGTTAATTTCTTAGAGAGCAAGAAGATCGCAGTACATCCAAAGTCCAACGAAAAAAAACAAAAAGGTGATAGTAGAGGCTAAATGACCTCAGACTCATAATTGATTTAGATCAATAGTGTTTAATTCGAATTGGGCCAATGATGAATACTTATGACTTACCTACCTTTATTTTTTATTTGATAAAAACATAAAATTTATATCTTATTAATTTTTATTATTTTCCAATCTTGAACTACATATGTGGGAGAATCTTGACCTACTAGCGCCCTAGATTAGAGTCCAAGATGCCTGTACTCTCCCATTGTGAGAGTCCACCCGTTAACATTTTATTAACACAAAATTTAAAAAAAAAAGTGAGAGACTGGGAATTGAGAAGAGCACCATTTGGTTGACCAAAAGTAAAGCCTACTTACTTTCAAAGGAATATAAACCAACACTATAGCGACAAGTGAATCATAAATTGGACTTCATACCCCTGGACTATTCATCTTTTTCACTTTGTATCCTATTATTGCTTTTCATACAATAACCCCTCAAAAAAGGGTGGGCATTGCCCAAAAAATGCAACCCTTGGCCTGAGCAAGGGCAAAAAAAGTTGAAAAGGGTCATCAATAGTGTGCCTAATATGTATATTCAAATTTGAATCCATAAAATATAAGATATTAAATTCAAAAATGAGTAGGTGAATGAGAACTTATAAGAATAACTCTTTAAAAAGAAAGGAAGAGGTGCCAAATAAGCAACAATTGAAGCTCAAAGGACATGCATTTAATACGATTGATCATTTCTATGAAAGAAAGGGCATGTGCATTTTTTAAGGAAACAATGCATATCATTAAATGAAGGTATGTTTGAAGACAAATAATGTCAATTGACGTGTGCCACACGACAAACATTATCTAGGGTTAAGTGAAAGGGGCTCAGAATGACTGTGCATGATTAGACAATTTAATGATTCTAAGTAATGTCAACACGTGTCTAGAAAAGGCACGTGACAATGAACGCATGCGCGATGACTCTTTCCAGGCAAGGCCTTTATAAAAGCAGTGGCTCAATTAACCAAGCCAGGTATCGACCTACCTATAATTGAGTCGGTCTGATGGTGAAGTTGTTCGGTTAGTAAGGGTTTTCATAGTAATTGTTCTTTAGATTCCACGTCACTTTTAACCAAAGGTACGAGTTTTTTTTCCCTCGTACATACACTAACCTCAAATTGAAAATATACCCCCCCCCAAAAAAAAAAAAATCTAAAATCATGGCAACCTAAACATCAAATTTAGCCCTTCCCCCTTCCTTCTTAAAAATCACCATTTAATCCATTGTCTTTTTCTTAAGCTCCGTATGCAAAACTTTTTTTGGGCTATTAAAAAGCCTCTTTTAGTCCCTAAGGAGTCCTTTCGATGTCATATTAATAACAAAAGGCTTTTATAAAGTAGTGGCTCGATTAACCAGGCCAAGTATCGACCTACCTATTATTTTGCCGGTCTGATGGTGAAGTTGCTCGGTTAGTACGAGCTTTCATAGTAATTGTTCTTTAGATTCCACGTCACCTTTAACCAGAGGTACGAGGTTTTTTTCTCTCGTACATACGCTAACCTCAAATTGAAAATATAGCCCCCCCCCCCTCCAAAGAAAAAAATCTAAAATCATGGCAACCTAAGCACCAAATTTAGCCTTTCCCCCTTCCTTCTTAAAAATCACCATTTAATCCATTGTCTTTTTCTTGAATACCATATGCAAAGCCTTTTTTGGGTTATGAAAA